ATAGTGTGGACTGGCAAATTTTGGTTTATTTCAGTGTTACCATTCACAACCTACAAGGCAGCAATAAAGCAGGTAAGAATTGTGTATTTTTTCTCTTACTGGTCTTGAAGAGAGTCTTTCAGAATCCCAGATTCTTCCTTTCTCCAGCTATTCCTCTTCCACAGGAGCCCTTTACAAGTATGTCACCTCTCTGAACTTGTTTTCATGAGCAGCAAAAATCCCCCTAGTTCTAAGACGGTTTTGAAGCACAAAGCTGTGTTAATAGCCATCCTCCCATATTAGTAGCCACCTCTTCACCTTTCTCCTCCAGGGTGGTTTTTAGAACTTCTCCAAGCATCTGCCATATGTATCACCGCTTGACCTGGTTTCACATGCTTCTCTGTCTAGCTTTAGGACTCCAAATCCATTTAAATCATGTGTCAGAGGAACATGTGACATGCTTAGTTATCCATAAGCGGTTTTAGCAGAGTACAATGAAGGCTGAATATTTTCCTAAGTATATTTAGAGGAAAAATCCCTCAAATCCACACATGCTGTCTTTGCTTCTTCCTGAAAATAGTCTGTTCGTGCTTGCAGAACTACAGTGAAGGTATCCTCCACACTGTCAGCAGGTTTAGGACAAGACATAAGCAAGCACTAAGTCAATGACTTGGGCCTATCTATGATGCAAAGATGCTTTTCTGAATACAATGGCCTTGCAATTTCTTTACCCAATTATTTGCTAACAGGTGGTAGATAAAAGTTCTGTATGTTGCAAAATGTGTGAGAAATTGCTTTTGCATGGCCTTGCAGTTTTCTGAGGAAGATAAGGACTTTTAGCACTTTTAGATAACTTAGCTTAGAAGTATCCATATGGATTACATCAAAATGTAGACATAGATAATAGAAGCACTAATGAGCACTTTTTAGGATAAGATGTATCAAACATGCAGAAGATCGCACTGCGCAGAATCATCCGAGAAGGGTCAAACAGTGCACAAGTGAAGAAGACTACTGAAGACCACCAGAGACGTCAAGTACGCCTGCGCGAAGGACATTTACATACAATAATGAGTTCCTGGGAAACTAATGAATACGTAAAACTTCTCGGAAATCTGATGAATATGTATATAGAACCTGTATATAAACTATAGAATTAGCCTGACCAGGTGCACACAATAGGAGGAGACGTCCCTCATCCACTACCTATGATGGATAAGCTTTAAAATAATTAAAAGCTGCCTAGGCCTCACTATATAGTAGTCAAGTACCCTCAGCTTTTATTGAATCCTGGCAAGCAATTAGGGCACAATCTAATGTCTTTTCATGTTCCCAGATCCCTGCAGATTGACACACAAGTAAGAGCTCTTAATAACTCATTTTTTATTTCCAAAATTACTGAGATAGCTCCTCTGGGATTCATTTGTTGCATATATAGAACAAACCAACATTCCCCCTGCCCGCCTCCACAAGGTCTTCATCTTACTATGAAATAATAGGAATGATTTTCAAAAGTTTGCCTTTGATTTCTCAAGCTTGACAGATTACATCTGTGGTTACATCTTAGCTGAGACCAATGAATTCTGTCTCCAGCAAAACAAGAATAATCTGAGCTGGTTGAAACCTAGCTCAACATTGCATCTCAGAAAGGACAGACACCACACATCCCTGAGAGGCATCCCTAAGGAGCACTTTTAATCCCCTTCTTTACCTCCACTCCCAGCTATCTGAGGTCTGTCAATACAGAGCAGTTTTATCATTCCCAGAATGACCAAGAATTATTTTAGTATGAAAATGGACTTTGGGGCTCAACTCCTTCCCCAGGCAATACAACTACACTAATGACAACATTCACATGATGTTTATCCTACTATCCCTGTAACATTCAGTTCTCCTCACGTTAATTGTTCACTGTGTAGACAAGTCCTTAGAAGCTGGCTCATGTTCTCAGGCACAAGGATTTATAGTCCTCTTCCAAACCTGCTCTGTAAGTCTGTTAAACCTATCATCTCAGAAAGTGTAGGGTTGTTTTATGGTGGTTTTATGCTTCTGGCTTCCGTATCTGGCTAAGTGATTGACTTAACACATTTAAGCTCCCAAAATTAAGATTTAAATCTTCTAACTTTACACTTCACTCAACAAGCCTACTACAATTGCAGTGCAACAGATGGGAATGCAGACCACTAACTCAAATTTTCTTCCAATATTATCTAGAGACTTTGCATCCTTTCCTACTGGCTTCTTTCCTACAGAAAAGCATGTCTTTACAAGTCAATATTATTCAATTTGTTCTGTTTTGTTTTCACTGGTTTTATAAATATGCATCTGCAAAACGTGGAGAGCTGGAATTAAGAAAAGCTGCAATATTCTGGAATAGAATTCAGTTCACACACACCTGAGGGAGGGCATGGTAACATGCCAAATGATGTGGCAGATCTACTGAGTCAACACACAGAAGCTAATGAGCAGCTCACTCTTGACCCGTATTACACAAATAGCATTATCTAGAGATAGGTGGAAGAGGTCCAGCACGCTACAACCGTGCCTCTGTCATGTTTCATTTGATAGGTTATGACTCCCCACACACAAAGAGGCACAGAAGCACAACAGCTGGCTGGTGAACCCCGATAACTTTGTCAGAGAATTTATCAGAGAAGCCATGCCCTGCCCTGATGCAAGGGCATCAGCTCCAGGGGCTGGGGATGGCACCCACCAGGTGAGTCCGCAGGAGAAGCTCTGTGGGTCACTACACTGACTGAGGGGGTCACTCAGTTTGTGGGGCTCTATGAGATGCATGGGAAGAGTATTCTGGGATTGTACAAGCATTGTTAGGGGACATTTAGGGGAGGAACCAAAGGCAGAGGAAGGGAGGGATCAGCGTGGTTTGGGGAGGAACAAGTATGGGAAAATGGAGGGATAAGGAGATAAAAGAAGCTAGTCACATATAAAGAGGTTGCTGGGTGGTATGCCTGCCTGGCCATGCCCTGCTCCTGATCAGCATAGTCTGTCCTGTCTTCTCATTAAATACTATTTCTAACTATTTGTGAGTATGGTTTCCACTCTCCTGCATGCATGTCTGCATATGGGCTCCTGCAGCACCAGGAACTGAAGCAGGACTGCAGGTCACTGTGACCCATGTGTCCACGGTGCCAGCAACCAGAGTGACAGCTGTTGTGTAAGCACCAGAAAACATCAGGCTGGACTCACTGGCATGCAAGGTAAGCGGCCCAGGAGCCACATGTGCACGTGTCTCTGAGTGAGGCACCATGACTGCTGTAGGGACCAAGGAGGCCCAGGATGACTGCTGGAAAGACCGTGGGAACTGGGGGTCCACCAAGAGCTTTGCGGGGAGGGGGTGTATGTGCATATATGCATGCACACATACACGCGCACATGTATACATATACATGTATATGTATAAACACACACATTCCCACTAACAGACCTTCATCTTGCTCAGCCATAGAGCAGAGAGGATGCTGCAGCAGCTTCACCTCTAGTGAGATACCATACTTGAAGACCCTAACATCATTAAACTAAAGCTTTCAAACATTTCATCTTTTCTTTTCGCAAATGTTAAAGAGACATTAGAATCACTGCCTACTTACTGAGTTTTCTCATCATAGCAAAGTTACTGGGCTTATTGACTTCTGTTTTGTGAAAATGTATTAAGAGGAAGCAATTTGTTTTAATGCCACTGTTCTATTTAAAATACGAGTAACGATTCTTTACATGAGCCTTGAAGATGTACCATCTATTGCTGCTTTCTCCAGTCCACACATGGACACTGTATAGGAACAAAAGACATATTAAAGTTTGAATCCTGCCCCCAGTTTTCCTGTTTTTTTCCTTCTTTTGGGAAGGCCGCCTAAAGCTGAACTGTCGTGCAGTAGTACTTTCAACCAATCCACCTGAAATACCTGGTATATAATTTGCTCTTTTTGACAGTCATGAGTAAGCAAAATAGCCTTAGTTGGTGAAGTATAAAAGTCCTGACGCTCAGCCACTTACATCACTTAAAACACTGAAAAAAGTGGAAGTTTCTTAGATAAACTGCAGTTAGTCAGAGCCTGGTCCCATAATAAGGGAGCATGGTGGTAGGTACTAACTTACAGTCATTAAGAGACACCAGCTTCAAGTTTTAAGAAGTGAAATAAGAGCATGCTTGAGATCAATTCCATAACTGAATTCATTATTTACTGAGCTGGACTTTTTAAAAATCCGAACAGCATTTGCACAATTATCCTATTAATTTTGTAAAAAAAAAAAAGAAAAAAAAGAAAAAGAAAGGAAAAAAAAAAAGAGAAAATCCCTCCCTATGTATTGTTCTGAAATTTCAGTTTTTACAACAATCCATGGAGCTACATTAGGTAGGAAGTACCATGTTTTTCTAGTTACTAATATGGATATAGGGGGTAGGATGCCCTTAAACTGTGGTTGGCTTCATCTTCTGAAAAGTCGGAGTTTGGCTAATACCAACCGCAGAAAACTCCACACACCTAAGAATTTAACTGCGTAGGAAGCAACCAGCCCAGCTCAACCCTGATGCACAGGAATACATACACTTTTACTGCAACATGTCCAAGAAAAAAAAAAACCAAAAAAACCCCCAAAACAACCAAAATTCACCTGCTGCCTTCAGTAAGATTTGGATCCAGCTATCTTAAAAGAAAAAGGCTTTGAAAAGACATGCTATCTGTGTCTGCCCTTTAAAGTGGTTGCTTATCTATGGATTGTTAACACCCTGCTTGCTTTCTTCGATTACCAAGTTGAGAGAAATGATCTATTTGTCAGGGTAATCAACAGATTGTCACTTATGCCAATCTACCAGTGGAAAATAGTGATGAGATATTTGTAATGCCCTGGATAAATGTGTTGGACCAAAACTTTTGACCTCAAATTGATACCAGCATTAGAAAAACAGCCATTTACTATTTTTTTCATGTGGCAAAGCAAGTTAAGATTATATGAATAAAGACTAGAATGGGTGACTATTCACCACTTACTAAACTTATGCTTACTTGAATCTGTTGAAATTTGGACATCTTTTGCTGATCCCTGTGTTGACCCATCAACATCATCATCTTCATCTGTGAAAACAGAAACATTTTAAGAAAGGATTCTTGTTAACTTGAACTGTGGGGGGAAGTGTTTGTCATTTAAGGATGGTGTCCAACAAAGAAGCTAACACAAAAGAATCCAGTCAGAGAAGCACACTTTCTTCTTCCGCTTAGTTTATTATAATAATCCATACTATAAAACCAGCATTAAAAAAAGCAAACCTGCATTGTCACAAAACTACAGTGAAGGCATACCTGAAGTCCTTCTACTACTGGCTTTAATATTGCAACTACTGCATTTCATGCCTTTCTCAAGCTGCAATGTTTGCCTCTGACCAAAGTATATATGGCTTCCATTAAGTTTTAAATCACTAAATCAGTCCAGGAACTGCAGTAACAGCTTTCCAGACAGAAGTATGGGTATTATACAAATAATTTCCATAACTGAAAAACAGATTTGGTGACACCCAAAGAGAGAGAAATTACTGCACTCCAGAAGAGGATTTTGACAGCAGGTCATTGCTCTCACTAAAAGCTAGGAGCCAACTTGTCAGATAATAATGCAGCTTGTAAAATCACACATAAAATACTTAGACGTTATTAAAATAAAAGCTACTAACATTTACATTTGCTCCTGTGAATATAACATCCTGACTGCATTCTCATCCGTGACACTCAGGTCCATACAGAAAGACTGGTACAAATCCAAACACGATAAATTTTTCTCCTCTAAGGGTAGCAGTGGCGTGCAATGTAAGCCAGTCCAGTGTGCTGACCATATAATGGTATTCATATTCCCACCCACTGAAACTCCCAGTAGTCTTGACTGGGATGCAGTCAAAGGTCCCAAAAGATACAAGCCAGGCAACACCTCTATAAAAACTATGCCTTGCAGATGAGGGAGAAAGCAGGAAATCAAAGCACAAAACATGAGAGAAAAAATAAAATAAAAACAGTAAAGACAGCTCTTCAGAGCAAAAGAGGTACTAGGGACGTCAGAATCCTAATGCAAGAAAACCTTCCAAGAAGCAGAATCACAGCATGTCAAGAACGGTACTCAGCAGGAGTCCTAAACCAAAGACCAGGTAACTTACTGAATATTTGGGTAATGCTTGAACTGACTACAAGAAAGATCAACAATAAAGTTTCTGGGTTGGGGTTTTAAAATATAAAAGAAGGGTTGAAATACTTTCCCTGTTATAGTTGACAGACAAACAGATTACATTGGAGAGATATTTAGACAATATGGTCTTGAAACACCCTGAAATAAATGGAAATTGAATGCTTTCTCAAATTTCCCTTCAGACAAAATTGACTGTGTAGTACTAATTCCCCTTACATCATTGAACCTGTGGTTCACAAATGTTATCGGAGTTCTAACTAACTTTTTACTGAAGAATAAATCTGAGTTTTAAGGGCTGTTGGATTTGATTGTGTGAGCCTCCGTAACAACAGGTCAACGATGATGTGCTCATGCTCTGCCTAGGACAAGTCACCTGGCACCTCCCAGCCATCAGCTTGGGAAGAGCTGTGCCTGCAGCAGTTAACTCATCCAGGCAACCACTTCTTTGGTACCGCAGACTGGTCTTTTCACAATCTTCTGAGCGATGCCCTTTGTCAGCTGTGGCAACAGGATAGCACCCTCTGTGCATGTCGTGGTGTGAGCACTTCTGAACGAGCGTGCTTGCACACATGTCCCACAGAAGTGAGGACAGAAGTGCTAATTATCCTCCAACAAAGCTGAAATGCTCTTTGCTCCCCAGAAACATCCCTAACATGCATGCAGTCTTTAACAAGATCTGCTACCCGGAGCCTACACCTCTCCCTGGAAAAGCAGCAGCAACTCCCAGGGCAGCTGTCCCAAGCTGCTCTGTGGTCAGAGCAGCTTCAAACACATCCTGAAGAGTGTCAGGAAGCTGCTGGACCCATGACACATCTTGGTAACTTTTGGCACATGCCAGGAGCTAGTGGGTTTTTGAAAGAAAATGCAGGTCTGTTCTGTGAGCGTGGGTAATAAGAAAGACTACCAGGCCAGAGCACTGAGCTCCCCTGACGTAGGATGATGTGAGAATTAGTTTAAGGCAACTCCCAGCTCTGCCTTTAAGGAATAACCTGGGCAGAGGGAAAGACCTGTTTAGCAAAGGTATTTAGTGCCTTTGGCAGGGACCTGCAGGCAGCTGATCTCCAGCAGATGACTGAAAGCAGCAACACTCCAGCAACAGGTCTTAAAGCAAGCCTCAACAGGATGTGAATGGTGTAACACCGAGCCACGCGTGAAGGAACCAGGCTTATACCTGAACATCAGGGACCTGGCTGCTAAAACAAGCATCACATACTATCATCAGCTAAGGAAAAACAGAACAAAACACCTTATGCACAGCAGACTGCAAGGCAGGCACTGCACCACAAATATTCTCCATGCCTTGTGCTGAGCCACAGTCGTGGCCCATTGACCACAAAAGAAGGCAGATGTCAAGCGCTGAGGGCAGCCATCAAGTTCAGACGTATGCCTGGGACCAGCAGCAGGAGGAAAGGGGAGCGTCCCCACAGCTTGGCCCCTGCTCCCCTGCGTGTGAGCAGCCCCTCCACCCTGGGAAGCTGCTGCCCACCACGCGACGGGGAGCTGAGCCCAAGCAGCAGAAATTCTTGCAGAGCAGCAGAAAGGAGATCTGGTGTTAGAAAAGAAACATTTTTCAGGGCATTACTGTATTTTATCTGGGTATATACAGGCTGGGCGCTATAAAAATGCATTCTGGCATTCCCAGTGTGGTGGGTTTTCTTCGTTTTTTTTCGCATCACATTAAAGCACTGGAAATGGTCCAAATTAAGTTACTGAGTATTTCCCCTTCCCCACACACCTGTTTCTGACCACCAGCTAATGACTGTACTGCACTGCATTCTCTCAATTCAAAGTATAAAACATACATTTTCATTAAAAGAATGAAAAAAACGTAAAACTTGAATATGCGTAACATGAACTCATACACTTAGCTTGTAGCCTAAGTCTTGAAATGGAAAACCTTCTCTTCCATCATGTAAAATAATGAAGGAAGAGAATAGAAGGGGCAGCAATAACCTTGGATTCTTTCACTCAAGGTGCTCCGTGTTCAATTTTTACTTAGAGGTGATTTAAAAATTTAAAAAGGAAAAAGTTTAAGTCTGACACATTAAAAGAACACACCGCTGTTTAAAAGACAAACTTAGTTAACATCAGGAAAGTCACACCCGAAGAGGCTATTTAAAAGGTTTGTGATTAACTTCTGTTAATAATAATACAATTTTATCTTCACTTAAGCCTTTGGGACACTTGTAGAATACCTAACAATGGACCTGAAACAAAGTTCATAATGAGTCTTCCAGCAAAAGCAAGCTCATCCAGATTGTTTATTTCTGGTATTTCTTATGTTGGAAGCACTAAAAACTCTAAAACTTTCAACTATGTGCTGTACTTCACCTTCACCCACCAACAAGCAAATTCATTAAAAATAACCCACTGAAAAAAACACGCCAACCAAAAAAGCAACATAAGGCTTCCTCTCCCCCTTTACACTTTTATAGGTCACTTCAGCGTATCTAGGTTGTGTAGACTTAGGGTCATGCAGTTTCTACAGTAGCAGGACTCCTGCTATAGCTTCTGCACACGAGAACACATGGCTCCTGCTAGCCAACTGCCTTCACCAAAACCAAACCTACACGTTCAAAGCAGAAAGTTCGAGAACAACCTGTCAGGTTGAGGAAAGTGGAGTTGCAAATATTTAACTTCCACAACCTATATTTTGCCTACCTTTTATTTGCTTTCCTATTGTATTCAAGCACAAAAAGAAAGGCTTTGTAAGAACATCATAATCAAAATATAAATTAGAAAATATTTCAGTGGCTCAAAAAAATTCTCTTGTTCCTAAAGAGCTCTTACCCAAACATACACTCTAGATGGCAGTAGAACATTACCCTGCTAAATACATGATTTCTTTTCAGCACAGAAATCTTTAAAGGGCAGATGCTTAATCAAAGAGGCAAATAAAAATATATGTATACACGATATGCCAAATAAAACCCAACATGTACATCAGCAAGTGTTTGTAGGAATGATAACACTAATCTGCTAAGCAAATTTTTGGATTTTAGGTTTTCACTTTCTGCTTGCTTACTATTTAAAGAACAGTTTTCAAATTGCCCAGCACCAGTAAACAGAAGTTTCAGCATTTCGCACACAGTCTGCATTTAAAAATCTCTATCCTGTCCCAGAAACAGCAAGAAGTTACAGTATTGCCACAAAACCCAGTGAAAATTAGCAATCGTATTCTTCAGTAAATTACAACACTAGGTTAAACATGCTCATCAATTAGTTGCAGTCAACTTTGAAAGTTTTTACCTGATTCTGTTTGCAAATTTTCTGATATTCGAAAACAATGCAGTTTGCTGAAGTTGCGAGAAAATAACTGCACACAGGTTGGAGGAAGAATCATATTCCTTAATCTTCCAAAAGTACATTCTGGTGTGACAATTATGTAGCAAGCAGAATGAGCCTATAAATAGAAGCATCAATTAAGAAGTTAGTGAGATATGAAGAAAGCAAATTTGTTTATAATAAAATACTCACCAGAATTGCAAAACTCAGGCTAGGACATATATAGACCTTTTGTAAATCACTTATGAAATGAGTGATCCACTTTTCACCCTAGATTTTCATTTGTTCCATTCAGTTTTTATATAACCAATAATGGGAAGTCTTAACATGTGAAGAAACTCCATGTACTACAAACCTGCTCTATTAAAAACTAAAGGTTTCTATACACCTATGTGGAGAAATTTTAAGTTCTGGTCTCAAACCCTGGATCTTCCACTCTATACAGATATTTACTGGTGGAGGTGGGAAAGGTAAGCAGGTTATACTGAATAGTTTGAAAATAGCAATATCCTCTTACAAAGCTGTACCCACTTGCAGATTCAGAGATAACACTGTTTGGGTTTTTATTCCAAAACATGGCTGGCTAGTTTCTGCCTTTGTACTTGTGCAAGATCTTCTGCCATTACTGAATACACAGACCTTTGTATATGTGGCCATGCTGCATGTTACATTTGTTAGACTGTTCTCAAAGACAGTCCCTCCCACCTCAGAAATTATGAATCAGATTAAAAATACAAACCCTGCAATATTTAAAAAAAAATTAAATTCTTCAAGTCATACCTGAAATACTGAATAACCCCAGAGTTTCATTTTAAATTATTATTACACAGAGTACCTCATCTTGCAGTAACTGGCAATTAATGATTTATTACATATGCTTTTCAGTTCCCACCCCACCTGGTGCTACTTTGCACTTTCATCATATTTCAATGAGAGCTGGCATTAACTGGATGGACCAATTGTTATCTAAACAGCAGCCTGCATATCAGTATGTGAAAAGCTGTGGCTTTTGTGAGGATTATTGAAAGGTACTGTCAGGTTGCACAGAAATTAAACATGTGTCACGTGAACAGAAAAACATAGAAACCAATACTGACAGCTTTAAAAAAAAACCAACCACACAGGTTAAGAACTATTCCACACTGAAAGAGGAATAAGCACATTAGAATGGTAAGTCTTTGACCTTGCAGATTCACATAATTTGAAAAAAATTCCGATTTCACACAGGAAAAGTAACTGCAGGCTTCTAAGCAGAAATCTATAATGATTTGCCTGTTAAATTTTAATTCCATTGGATTTACATAAAGATTAACTGTGATGTTGTGAATTCCTCATTTTAATGACTAATCAGATTTTCCATCTAACTAATGTATTTGTATAAATAAGTGTATACATGAAGTGTATTTATAAAGTATATAAAAAGTATATTTATGAAGTGTACAAATAAAGTATATTTATGTAAAGTGTTTAAGTATGTGCAAATATATATACGGTACCCACAAATATATACAACAGCACAACATACCAGGATGCCACACCATTCACATCTCATGCCAGACAGGACCTCAGAAGAGCTACAGGTTTTTTTGCAAACTTCGCAACGAGCACTTGAAGAAAGGTTTCCCTCCCTCCAGTGGTGGTGATAAGTATCCTGAGGGAACACATCAGGACTTAGTGTTACATGAAACAGATACAGAAGCATCTTTCCTAACTTTAAAATCAGCAATTCAAACAGCTCTGAAGAAACAGCAAGACAGACTAGGACACTAAGTATTTCCTAACAATAAATATGAACCTAAACAATCCTACATTTCACTGAAGGAAGTTTATCAAACTATGAAAAAATTTATCACAAAGTGCATTTTCTTCACACTCCACCAAAACCAATATTCTCCAAAAAAAAAATTAAAAAAAATCCTGAAAGGTCAGTATTATGCACATATTTTACAGTGAAAAGCTGGGCTGTCTTGCTTCAGACAGACTCCAGGAAGCCTGAGGAACATGATAATGTTTGCCATGGATGTAATGCAGCCAACAGCTCAACATATAGAAAAAAAAGAGTTCCATGCCAGCTTCTGCAATGCAAATTTTTAGATAAGATGCCTGATTTTTTTTTTTTTTAAGTAGGACATTGTATACATTGCACAGACTTTTCAGCACGGCTTCAATAAACATCATGAATATGACAGAATTTAAGTTCCTCTTGCTATCTGAGATACTTTCTGAAGCCACACATTTCCTTTGCCTGCCAATAAGCAACAAAAGTGCTTTGGAAATTGGCCGCATGTGAAAGAAAAGATCAAGACTCCTCCCCCTCCTCTAGCCCATGTTTTCACACCGAAAATGAGGGACCACTTTCTCCTGCAGAGGCATCCACACTTACGTGGTCCTGGTGCCCATCCTGGTGACACTGCCGGCAGTCACTGCAAGCAAACAGGATACAGTCTGTGTGCACATGTAGCTCACAAACTAAAAACATGAAAACAAGAAAACTTCTTTAAGCTGGAAACCCCGGGGTTTTCGCAGCTCTTCCCTCTGTCCCTTTTTCTCTCCATCCCTCCAATACTCCTCCACTACTTTTTTGCACCATACTTTCTTTCCTTCATGCTCTTTTCTGTTCAGTAAAGATAGGCAATAAAAGAAGTTTATCAGCATTGTCCTGTGTGTTGCTCCACTTCCTTCGTGTTAAACTGATACAGAAAGTTTAAGAAAAGGCTGAGCTAATTTTGCTCATATGCACTTGCCTTATTTCCTCCAATATAGCAAGTTAAACTTGTACCAACTTTTTGGCTTATTACACAGCTTTTACTCACAGTTTCACAGGAACCACTGCCTACTCCAATATAATTGGGCCTGAAGTCTAGTATGATTTAATCAAATCCAAAAAAGGCTGAATGTTAGAAGCATTAACAGAAAAAAAGTTCTCCTTCTGCATCCAAATACTACCAAGTCTGGAGTGTAAAGTAATTGTCTTCCTGAAGCTATACTCCAGTTCATTCCCTTCACAAACCCTTTTCCAAACCCTAGTGCAAAGCAAGCGGGCACCTCGCAAGTGGGCTGAAAACAGCAGGAGCTTTTCTGCTGGACAGCCCCTCTCTCCATCCCTGAAGCTGTCAGAAGCACAAAGAAACAAGAGACAAGGTGCGTTCGAGACCCCAGCCCCAGCAAAGGAGGGGGCACTGCTGCCGAAACAGCAGCTAGGCAGTAGCCCTCCAGCAGCCCTGTCTCGCTCACAGTCCCACAGGAGACGTGGCAGAGGTCGGATTAGCTACTGGCCCATGTGGCACGGCAGGGCACGGCACAGCACAGCACGCCTGCACCAGCACCGACTCGCTCGTGTTTGCAAAGTGACACGACGTTCGCTGACGTCAGGACATGCAAAATGACTGGAGGATATCGTTCTCAGGCAGACTGCAACAGCCAGAAAGTGTGTTTTACTCAGGAAATAAATCTTTTTTATTGCCAGATGACGCTCAATGGATTTAATTTTAAACCTGACCAGAACCAATTGGTATGCTAATCTCAAAGAATATTTGCCCAAGCCATGTCTGCATACAGTAAATCACCATTTCATTGTTGGGAAAAGGAAAATAATCATTTTTTCAGCACACTCTTTTAAGTAAGCTTAACATTGTCTTCCAAAATACCTGTTAGATACTGTAGCTCAAAAAAGTTTTAGTGAAGCCTAAAGTTTTAGGCAAGCTTGTTTTGGATAAAGTACTTTCATTATTTAAAAGCTGACTTCAAGTATCAGATGTGAAAGAAAAGAGAATCTACCAAAAAAAAAAACCCAAAAAACCCCAGCTAAAATGCTATGCTGCAAAGGATCAGTCATTAGAAAAAAAACCAAACCAACTAAAATCTCAATATCTAGCTTCATTACTGAAAGAGTTAGGTAAGTTCTCTACAGACCTCATAGACAGAGATGGATAAAAGAGACCCTCCTCTAGCTGCTTTTTAAAGACTTGGGTATACAAGCACTATGGGAAGGCATCCAATTTTTCATTGAGTAAATGAAAGTAAGAGGCAAGCGTCAAATTCTTCAAATATTTTTTTTTCTGTTCTGCTCAAACAAGTTATTGCTCCAAGCACATCACAAAAATCTGAAGACTGTAACCTGAAGGCTGAAAGATGGCAACTGCACGTTAGCCACGTTATCTGAAAGTATCTTGAAAACAGTATTAAATTACATAGAGAATAATACCTTATTTTGAAATCACTCTCTGGACTCCAGAAGAGGTGATCAACGCTAACACTGTATTATTCCAATCCCGCAGAAGACCATGATCTCCTATCACACCAAAGCAAAGCCTCTTTTAACAGGGCTTACTAAGTCAATCACAAGCTTTCACGTACAACTCCCCATACTATGTGTGTTCACCGAGACTTCAAGAACTTTTATACAAGGTGTGACACGGTCTCTCCTCTGCTCACATTTCTCCATATTCATAGATATAATAGGAATATTTTACAGTTTTGCCAATTCAGCTACCAAGAAAGCTAGATGCTTTGAGTCACACCCTCACTAATGGTTAAAATTTACTGTAGACCAAATTACAGCTTTGGAAAATTAACAAAAACATTGGGGTTTTTATCGTTAATTCTGGTAACACAGGCACACACTGCCCTTTGCTATACTTTGTAAGAACACAGAGGGTTTTTTTCCCTTGGTTTAATTCACATCTGCTGCTTCCAACACCAACCCCAATTCGGAATTAACAAGAAAATGTGTGCATGTGAAGGGCAGGAGTGTCACAGGAGTTAAACCCTTAAGATAGATATCCCACTTATAGGAAAGATGAAGTTTTTAGTATGTAAAGATCAAGTCAAATCAGAGGGCCTACAAAAAGAAGTTTCATCTTTATCAGCCCTTCTGTAATCTACACAATTCTTTATCTGAAAAGAGAATGACCGTTTTCTGTTCAAGCTAGTCATGAAAGTGCTGTGAATTCCTTTATAATTACCAAAAAACCAAGTTGGTTTATTTCAGATACATAAACTTGGCAGAATAACCTTTAAAATTTTAACTGCCTCCCTCCCCAGTAAATTGCTGCTCCCAGTTGATGCTTAATAAGAAACTTTTGTAAAGGATCCAACACTAAAAAAAAAAAAAAATTGGGTTACTCCCTTTCCTTTTTTTTCTTTCCAGCCCTTCTTGGAAAGAAAAGGGAGCCCAACTCTCACCATCACGAGTCCAGGTTCAACTGTTACCAGTGAATTCTACAGCAAAAATAGCTATCCAAAGCAATTAGTAAGTGTCAGCAGAATCTGGAGTCCAAATATTGTAAGTTTTGCCAATGAAGTGTATGGACTTATGTCACCAGGCATTAATATATATGCATGCTCATTTCTGAGAGCCTACATGCACCTACAGCATTTAGTACTTGTCTGAAAATATTCTATTACCTTTCAAGAAAATTTATTGTATTTTAAGACATGAAGAATCCAAAACAAATTATTTAAATTATTTTAAAAGAACATCTAACAATGTCAATCATTTGCTTAGAAAAGGTACCTTCATCTTAACTCTCTTTCCTATCTTAGTTATGGCAAAGATTCCAGGAAAAGTTCTTTAAATTTCAATATCAGAAGAGAACATCATAACCAACAGTAGACTTGTACTATTAAGCTAAGTCATTAGAAGTAAGCAAAAAAAGGAAGAAAGTTCAGCATCTCCATCTGGATTTAAAAGCTCTACAGCTTCAAAAAGCTGACTTCTAAAACAAATTCTGAAAGTATTTTTGAAGAGTAAAGGAAGAAGCTCGTGCATTTTATGAACCTAACTGCCCTTTTTAAGCTACATTTTGGAAAAGTATGAGAGAAACAAGTTGTAGACTTACTGGTGGTCAGAAAACGGGATAGCAAATAAGTCACAGCACACAAACCAAGAAAACTGTTTAATCCATGTGAGGAATACAATTCAGAACCTTCACTGAACCAGAAAAAAAAACAACGTCCGGGCATTTTTAATACTTAAATACAACATGCAAGTTCACGTGTTTGTTAAGAACACTTAAATGGAAATGTCTGAAAAAATAAATATTCCTTTGCAATGGGTACAACACTAATACAGTATAAGAGAGTAGGAATATGAAAGCAAAATTTAAAAAGCTTTAACTAAAATAGATCACTGAACTAAAGCTATTTTCCAGACTTAAGAGGACACAGCTAGCGAAAATTTTGATTTCAAATTCTCTGATCCAAGAGGAATGTTTCCCCTACACATACACACAGGTGATCATACTGAATAACATATCTTTAGCATAACAGCAATTCTGAAGGCATCTCAAATCCCTACAGAATTGATTCTTCTCTCAGTAGACTCTATCTTTTTTTTTTAAACAGTTCACAGGTAATATTCCTTCAAAATACTAAATTCAATTCAACCTCACAACATCAACTGAACAACTGCTAGACATTCAAGACAGGGGAGACAAGGGAGAATTAAGGAGCTGCCCCACGTCAAAATCAGTCAAGTACTCATGCCAACATGTATTTCAAATAAAAATTCTGGTGTTTGGGTGAATTCTTTAATTACTGTTTTTTTCAGAGAATCCATGTCAGGACACTCAGAGCAGTACTATTTTGACAAATAATATTTTCAAATATCTTTCCATTGAAGGCACGTCATCCCCATCACAAGCAACAGATATCTGAGTCCAGTAACACAGAAAGTTATATTCCATTCTTTTGTAGAAAGGGGGAGGTTTTAGAAACATGAATACCTGCTGATTCCCTGTATCAAAAGGTTCCATTGGAAACAGAAATAAATTACCTCAACAGGACAAGTCTTTCTTTTGCCATAATAGCTTCTCATTCTTTGCACATCTTGGGCATGGATTCATTGCACACCAACACCACAGACTTGCTCAAAGTAAATTGAAGGAAAGATGAAAGGGCATACATGTCTGACAAAGTTTGTGGTTTATTGAAGGTTATCGATTTATTATTCCTTAATTTGAAGTACACATTTCCATGATCAATGAATGGATGATAAACAACCAAAAAATCTCTCAAACACAGTAAGTGCACATGCGTGTGTGTGTATGTGTACACACATACACTCAAGGTATGCAAGGCAGGCGAAGTATACATTACTGGATAACACACAGATGGCTATACAAGCAGAGTTTTTTAAGTTACCTTCACATCGAAAGGCAGGTGACTCTAGTGACTTTCTGCACACAGTGCAAAACTTTCTTTTGTAATGTCCTGGAGGTCCAAAACAGTGTGCAACTGGAACCTGGCAATGAAGAACACGTTAAGACATCATCAGCCTCAACTTTCAAAGTGCCAGTTACAATTCACAGAAACTGCTTTATCATGCCAGACAGGATAGTACATACAACATAAACTTAACTAAGCCTGAGAACAAATATACAGGCAAATCAACCTTTTTAATAAAACTTCATATTTAAAAATAAATTTTAGATACTTATTTTAAATAATTATTTTTTTAAAAATCTTTTTAAAAATTCTTGGGTTTTAATATGTAATATATATATTTTAAAGTGCTGGTTAGCTTCTTGGTGATCCACAGTGCCATGAATCCAAGAGTTTCCTTTGGGTTCAGTGCTGTGCGACTTACCTGGAATCACAGTTCCTCTCCTAAGTATTCTTAATTGAATCAAAGACAATTAAAGAGTAATAGTTGCACACGTACACAAAATACCCTAAAGACACACTCAAGACATTTTTTAAAAGCTCGGTCCAGTACTCTCCACAGGCCTTTCAGCTCTTCCCTGAATATAGCCCAGCCAACTGGCTTATCAGGACAAAGGCATTGGTCTCTCCCTGCCCCCACAAAGCCTCAAAGCCAGGAAGGTAGAGATCCAGCTCTTGAAGTACATCCATGCTGAGGTTCCTGTTGACTGTAGGTGGAAGACGATACATTTCAGCTCTTGCCAAGAGCTGTACCAACAGTTTTAGCAAATGTATTTCTAGTATACTATTCACTTATCTTAAAAAGGGAGTTTTTTTCTTGTTTAGTGAATAAAAATGAAGACTGGAATTGATGGTACCAAAAGAACAGAAGAAAAGATGAAAAATGAAGAATAAGAAACATACTTGAGCTTTATACTTGCTCTAGAGACCACTCTTCCTACAAGTCACACACCTTTGTTAAACTGACATTCACATTAGAAGGAAGAAGCATAATTGCATCTTTAAAATTCTAGAATCCAAATGACTTCCATAAAAGTTTACTGTGACTTAGGTATTTAGTACTATGCATCTCACATGCCATTCCTGATATGACAAATATATCAGATTTCTCTTCTGGTTCTTGCATCACACACACAAAATATTTCTAGTAAAGGCTGACAAATGATTATTTAGGTATGAAATGAAATTAATCATTCACAGTAAAAAATTGGAAATAATGACTTAAGATTCATGTAGTCATAGATAGCTTCTTTCCCCCCCAGATGTACTAGTAAACAATCTTCCAATGTTATTGAGCAGGATTTGAATTTTTCTCTTTATATATTAGGGTTTTCCTGGGAACCACTACCAGCAAATTCACACATACTGGGAACACAGAATTTGATGACACACAGAAAGTTGCTTCCAGTTATAAAGGTCTAACTGCCACCAGTGTTTCTGCCTCTGAAAGCATGGGGACAGTTACACTAAACAATCCCGTACTTCAAGCATGTGCAATAAAATAAGTGAGATAAAGTTTTGCCAGATGTAACACAAGGAGAAAGGAACATTGCTGGAATTTTAATCCAGAAAAATCACTAACCCCCAAACTGCAAAGCATGTGGTTCCTTCAGTCCTCCTCAGAATTAATCTCCAGGATTAATGGATGAGGATGAAGAGAGGTATGAAATATGCCTGTGTTATCAGACGTGAACAAGACCATGCACAGGATCTGACCAGTCAAGCAGAGTCACCAGCTCACTGCCCCAACAGACCATGTTTTCTGGAGGAATCCTTGGTCCCTGACTGACCAGGAAAATGCCTGTCCAGATCCCAGGCTCCCTACCATGCTGCACTGCCAGCTGGCCTACCAAAAGGATTTCATATCAGTCTCTCCAACATGATATATTACAAAACATCCTTGCCTCCAAAAGCTTCAAATTTTTACTTTACATACGAATTCAGGATTTAAAAATACAGACAAACCATGCTTGGGGGTCCATCTCCTACTCCCATCAACCCGAACAGAAATTTCATTCTCTGCAGCCCTCCAGCTCTGACTGACACAAAGTTCATGGTTGGCTTGCATTATTATTTATTTTTCTTAAATCAGAATACTCCAGTCATATAACACATGCTTATAAAAAGAATATATATCCTTAGGGTGAAAAAAAAAATCCTGGAGAGCCTGGAAAACTTTAATCAAACTATCTCAGATTAAGTTCAAGGCTCATAATCCCCACCCACTTTTCTTGCACTTTCATGCTACTTCTTCAGGGGAAAGAAAAAACCAAACCTCCCTGTACAGTAATGTACAATGTAGAATGGCTCAGCTATGCTGGAGGTAAAGTGCCAGAGCTGTTTTCTCACTCTAGCTGCTCCAAAAATAAAAGCCCAATCCCAACTTGGTGGGAGAAGGCCACTTGCCCAAAATTCATCCTACACAATGAGTTCAGGTGCAGAAAGAGATAATGAGAATGGCTACGTGAGCACAATCCCAGCCAGACACAGCAATTGTGAGGGGTACTGAAAAGCCCTGGTGGGATTTTGTCATGAAAGCTTTTCTGCACATCTCAACCTGTCTTCAGGTTTCAAGTGTCACCTTGAAGTCATCTGCCTGCCCTACTCTCACCGCAGACCCAGGCACAGCGGAGCTGGCCGTCCCCAAGGCAGCAGTATTCCCTTTGAGATCAGATACAGAGGAGACCTTCTTAGCTCTGGAGTGGTGAATAGCCTGCTTTGGACACCCAACATGAATTTCCCTGTTTGAAACACAGAGAACTTTTCTTTCCCCTAGCCATGAGTCTGGCTATTTTATCTTACACCTGGCATAGAAATGCAGGCTTTTCATTATTGTCACAGAAATGTACTGCTGAAGAAAAAGGACATTCTGTAGATCAAAGTAGAGTTTTGTGAAAAACAGTGTTTATTTTGGGAAAGACTGTGAGAAAGGACTTTGACAGGTATTCAGGGTCTGACTGTACTTATCTAGAAGACTTAAGGGAAGGAGACGAAGTCTAAATTCTGCAGTTGTTCAGATGCTGGTGACAATCCTCTGAAGTCTCAAGTCACTGCCAAAAAGAAGGGAACAACTTGCTGATTGAAATGTTGGGTGGAGAAAAAGAAAAAGGAGAGGGGAGGATGACAACAAATCTGTTCCTTCAACTTCTTCCTTTCTGAAACAAGCCAAAGAAACTTTATTATGAGTGATCTTTTGGAAGTGACAGGTATACGACCACTGCAGAGCCTGGTGGGAAATGGGATGGGCATAAGACGGAAAGATAAAAAAGAGCAAGTACAACATAATGAACTCATCAATCACATCATGCAGCTCCCTACATTTCTTTTGTTGCTGAACAAGTTCCAAACACGCAATACATAAAAAAAAAAAAAATATCAAAACTCAGACTGGGAAGGCCAGTGAGGCAGCATGTCAGAATATGAAATGGTACATATTATTCTTTAAATTATATCCACCTGTAGAAGTACAGCAAAGTACAGACATATAAGGTGGCCGACAGAGAGAAAGTTAATAATTTATGAGAGTTTAAAACCACTTTTCCAATACTACTACTTAAATTACTTTATGCAAACCACTAAAATCAATTTCCGCAGAAAAAAACCAGAAAATTTCTGCTGGTAATACCATTAAATGACATCTAAGTGCCCTTATAGTATTGATCAGAAGCCCATCGACAGAAAGTATAGCGGTAACACTCCAGCATAAGCTGCAGAATGACTTTGCACTCATGGACAAGATACTCCTAGCTCCTATTTTGTCTCCTGCCATCTGTTAAGAAATCCAAAGCATTACAGAATGTAACATATTCCTGTAAAAGTTGAACTCGGCCTGTAATAAAATTTGATCCTATAGAAACCAAAAAATTCAATTCTAACCCCTTCAGTGCAATCTGTGCAAGTGCACAGCAGTTCTCCACCATACGGAAAGAACAGCAACAAACTGCTCTTAACATCCAAACTTTGGAAGAAAAAGAAAGGATAGAACAGTTTTCTTTTGGTAGTGCCTTTTAAAATTGTTCCTTACCCTGAAATGCCACAGGTTATCATCAAGCATGTGGCCAACACCAGATCATTAATTTAAGTGCTCTTCCACTGAGGTGGAATCATTACGTACAGAGCAGCCCAGCAACCAACAAACCCTCTGTTTCGCGGATAGAGTCAGGTCAGGTCAAGCCTTACTGGTCTGCAACCTTCAGGATACCTCAGTGGGAAAAAACACAGCTCCAGAAAGGTCTATTCTTCACCCAGCTGCAGCTGCTTTTCTACCAACTCAAGCAGAAGAAAGTTTTTAGCCTGAATCCTGAGCCAAAGACTTCCAGGCTCAAAGGGGAATGAGAGAAATACAGATATACCAAATGCCGGAGTGACAGCTGCTGTCTTCGGCAGTCTTAAAAAAGAACAACCTACTAAAAACTTTTCCTAGACCTGTGTTTAAATACTCTTTTTCCACACCCATCTCCTTCCTCATCACATCAGAAAGACTCACACTTGGCAGGACTAAATCACACTGGAGAGACTGAGAAAGCAGGGCTGCAGGACCTACAGTAGTGCGGGGCTAATCAGCTTCCAAGTAGGAAAGGGTAACAGAAACAAGGATACAAACACTCTCACAATAGCCTCCAAAGGTTGAGCAAAAGGAATTTAACTTAATATCACTAGTTTTCAGTTCAAAAACACTGTGGCATTTCAAGCCTAAGCACAACCAGCTTGGAAGCAACCATCTTCATGAAATGCCCACAAGGCTAGTCACATGGGGTCTTTCATAAAGACTGCTCTCAACATAAGGCCAAAAAAAAATTGCTCATACAAATTAAAATGGTGTTCCTGAAACAAGAACATCTTCTGTGGATTCTGATGTTTCCAGTTGGCTGGATGCCATGTGCCCACCAAAGCCGCTCTATCACTCCCCTCCTCAGCTGGACAGGGGAGAGAAAATATAACAAAAAGCTTGTGGGTCGAGATAAGGGCAGGGAGTTGTCACTCGCCAATTACCATCACAGGCAAAACAAACTCAGCTTGGGGAAAAGTAATTTAATTTATTACCAATCAAATCAGAGTAGGATAATGAGAAATAAAGCC